ATAAATTATAGTATATAGACCAAAAAAAAGTAAATTGCATGTTTTTAGTAATTTTTTTTTATATTTTAAATAATTTTATTTGTTTTATGTTTTGTTTGATCATTTTGTAGAATTGTTAAAGTGTTATACAATTTTCGAATTAGAAATAATTAATTTTGCTTTTAAATACTGTATTATCAAACTTAAAATTTTATTTATAAATTGTGTTTTGTTTTGTTTTTTTTTTTTTAAATTAATTAAAATTTTTGTTCTTTATTATAAAATTTTCATTATTTTTTTTTCAAAATAATTAAAATTTTGGAAAACAAATAAAATCGTCAAACAAAATTATAAAAAATTTTGTATTGACCCACTTTGAGAATCTAAACGAAAAATAAAAACAAAACAACCAAAACTTGCTCAATATGAAAACCAAATATCTTTTGTCAAAAATATTTAAACAAATTTCTAAATTTATTTATAAATCTCCAAAACTACTTTAAAAACTAACTCTTGTCAGATGGGATACTCATTTATACTTTTTCTGTTTGTCTCACAAATTTTTTTTACATATAAAAAGAAAAACTTTAATATTATTATTTATTTTTCTTTTCGAGTTACACATATATTACATTTTACTCTTTAAACTAATCTAAAATTCAATGGAAAAATAAAAGTAAAACACAAAATCTAACATTTCATATAACAAATTACAACTAATAATTGAATATTTATTAAATTAAAGTTAAAAAAATGAAAATTATTAGACCAAAAAAATCATTATACATATTTAAAATGAATTAAACTATAATAATTTAAATTACAATATAATTATATACATGTTTATTGAACTACATATATACATGAGAATATACATACATAATATATTAAATATAATATATTATAAATATATACGTTATATAGCATATGGCTATATTATGTACATATATATATATATATATATATATATATATATATATATATATATATATATATATATATGTATATATATATATATTATGTTCAAATGTCACAATGTATATCAATAAAATATCATTCATATAGGAAAAAATATTATAAATATTTAATAATGTTTAATATTATTTAATTTATATTAAATATTATTAAATAAATTGAAATTAAATGAAATTTTTAATTTACACTATATTATATATAAAAATTATAATACCTAAAAACAAAAAAAAATTGATAAAATTTAAGTGTGATATTGAGAGTTTTAAACAAAAATAGAAATAATATGTGTTATATTAAAAATTAAAAAAAAATTAAAAAATCAGATCATATTATATACGTTACAACATTATTAAAAAATATACATTATTCAATAATATATGTATATATATATATATCTATAAATTATATTATGAAAATGCAAAGAAGGAATGAATAAAACAAAATCATGTCATTAAAAATTGAAATACACGATCTTTTTATTCAGTCTTATTTTAAATTTGATTTCTTTTTTTTTTCTTTTCTGAAGACATACAGGTAAATTAATTTAATAAATTGCCTCGTAATTTGACTCATTTCATCTATACATTATAAAAATTCCAATTTACAATATTCAAGAGAAAAAATTCAATCTAACAAAACTTTTATAGTATTAAAAAATACATCGTATTAGTGCTTATCCTTGTAATTTAAAATCGTATTAATAAGTACTTTGTTATGTGTGTTTCACCGGAAAAAGGTTATTTATTAATGAAAAGTGTATATAGTTTATATGAAAATAATTTATGGGAAAGTAACCTAAATTTAAGTTATGGAAAAGTGCTTTAACACTTCTAAATAACTTTTGACGAATACAAATTATATTTTTCTTAAATAAATATTTTGAAACATATAATTGACCGTAGTTAACATATTTGAATAAAAATACCACAGGAGTCAATTTTTTTTATACAATTATATGTTTACAATAGATTATGTTATTCAAAGAATAAGAATGAATCTTTAAAAGAACTAACAAAAAATAAATTATATTGAATTAAAATATCCCTAATTCAATATTTTTGGAATGTCTTTGAAAAATTCTCTAGAAACTTAAAATAACATTAATTTAAAAAAAAAATGAGTCAAATTATCGAAAACAAAATGCAGCTTTAAAGTATTCTTTTCCCAAAAACAAGTATTAACTATTAGTTATATTACAATATTTTTATTATTATATCAAAAATAATTTTATTACACAAAATATTACAATATTTTTAATTATACTTCTTTATATTTTTTTTTGAATATATTTTTTAAATTCTTTTTTTTATCTTATTTCATTTCTAACAAAAATATAAAATTGACTAACATTTAAAAATGCTTCGCGGATGCTGGAAATTTGTTAAATTCAAATTGAATTGAAAATTTATGAAAAATATGAAATTTATATGAAAACGGTAATGCTCTTCTCTATTATATATATATTATAATTTTTTTTTAATAAATAAATTTTGTTAAAAACCACTTTTTTTTAATTACAACTATAAATAGTTTTTATGCTTAATTAAAATTTATAAAAAATTAAAATATAATTAATATAACCAAAAAAAATTAAATAAGTAAATTCTTGTTTAAATATTTTTTAAATAAAAATATATTTGTTTGTTTATATTTTTTAATTTCATTTTTGTTTTGGAATATATAAATAAAATATAAAATTTAAATAAAGAATTTTTTTTAATAAAAATTTAATAAAAATAAGGATTAATACAAGAAAAATTTTATTGGAATGCCTATTACAAAATTTTTTTAGTGTCATAATATTCTTTTCCAATTTTTGTTTTTTTTTTGGTTTTTATCCTATGTTATTTTAGAAGAATGAAAGGCATTTTTGAAATTTATTATAATTGTTATATTTATTTATATTGCTACATAAAAAAAAAGAAAAATATATTCCTTTTATATATAAGAATTTGTTTTAATACTCAGTTTTTTCTATTTTCCTTTTTAAATTAACTATGAATAAATTATTTTGAAATATATTTTCTTTTAATTATATTTTAATTATATGTTTTTTTTATTATATTTTAATTTTGTACATGTATAGTTCTTATAAAATTAAAAAATATTTAAAAGAAGCAACCATTATAAAAAAATACTATGTATTTTATTTATTTTGCATTATTTCTATTTTATTATTATAATTAAGTTCAGTTTGCAAATGGAATGTATGATAATTCGTTAATATTTTTAAAAGCAAAAAAATATTTAAATTTAAAATAAACCAAACTGACCTAAACTAATTACCTTTAAAATGAAAAATAGAAAATCAAATTTTTTAAAAATTCTTTAAATTAGCAACACGTACTCCTTTTCATAATTTTTGGAATTCAATTTTGTTTTCATCTGGAGCTTAATTTCTTCCATTATTTTCTGTTTTTTTTTTACTTTATTTATTTATGTTATTTTATAAAGTACCCTTTCTTTTTAATTATGTACCAATAAAAAATCAAATATCAATTCTAAGTTGTATTACTAATGCGTTACTAATTTTAATCATTAAAAAATTTTGACACAAATTTGCAATATAATTAAATTCAATACAGTATTTGGAGTATAATTAAAACAAATAAAATTTATTTTTAAGAAAAGAATTTTACTTATGCCAACACAGCTTTTCTAATTTTTATTGTACTCATTATTTTCATGATTAAAACAAATTTTTAATACAACTATTTATCAATTACATTTGTTGTACAAAATTGATAGTTGTAAATCATTTTACAAAGTCGCTAAAATACTTAGAAATGTTGCCCAAACTTTTCATTTTCAAAATATTCTGGATACAAAATATAAATCTTATTAATTTGAATTATATTTTAGATTATATTGAAAATGTAATGAGATTAACTGCAATTTTTGCTTAAAATTAACTAATTTAAGTAAATAATAAAACTAATACATTGATATATAATTCATGACTTAACCCAAAGCAGTCAGATTAGGAATTTGCAATTTTTAAGCCTTCAAACAAATGAAATTTAATTTATTTTCCATTTGTTTCTTATTATAAAAAATTTTCACACTATTATTGTCTTATTTTTTTCTATCGTCTTATATATAATAATATTTTTAATTTTTTTTTTTATTGTTTTTATTTATCTTAAATATTGAAACGTGATTTTTTAATTGACTAATTAAATATTTTACGAAATTATTTGACTCCTTTAAAATTAAAAATTTTTGAAATTAATTCACTTAATTCAAAAATTTGAATTTTTAGGCTGGAGCATACATAATCTTATTTAGTTTGCATCCATTGTTACAAAAATTTGCATCTTATAAAACTATTACCTATACAAGCTTACAGCAAATATTTACACATTACTCTATATATACATATATAAACATATATAAATATATATTATTTTATTTCCTTTACAACACTAATTACTCCTCTTATATATATTTTGCGTCTCCACATTATACTGCTATTCATCTTTTGTTCTATTTTTTTAATATAAAAAATTGTTTTTTAATAACATTACAATAAAAATTATGTGCACGTTTTTTATTTTCATTTATTATAATTTATTTTCCGTTAATACAATTAACAAAAATTATATATGTATGTATATATATATATATATATATATATATATATATATACATATATATACATAGGCTTAAACACATAGATAGGATGAACTCCCAGCTGGCACGAGTTATTGCTATACATAAAATTGAATATTTATATTAATTTGTAGCAAAATTACATACAATTTACATAAAAATTCCTACATATGGATATATATATATATATAAATATAAATAATATGTAAAAAACAATTTTAAATAGGTAATAAATGTAAAAATATAAATATAAATATAAAAATTTAATAATCAGAACAAAGAACATTCTTCAAATATTTTAAACTGTATTGCGATATTTATCAATTGCAAAAAAAACATGTGAAATTTTAACATATTTACAAACAATTAGTTTAAATATTATATAAATTTTCAACCAGTAAAAATAAGGTAGAACTGAGTTTTTGCTTAAATTTTTTATAAATTATTACACTTATGAAAAATAATTGTGTAAAACTTCGAGCATTTTCAAAATTTTGGATGTTGAAATACTTTTGAACAATATTTTGTCGCTTCCATTTGATCTTGCAATTCATCTAAATAAAATACTTCTAAATTTGCTTCATTCTCCTAAAAATGAACAGTGTTTAAATAAATTTCAAATTTTTATTAGAATTTCAAAGTAAATATTTTTTTGTTAATAAATTTTGAGTATAATGGATTTATCTTGTGTTTTTGAAAATATATAGAAAATTTCCTCACCATTTATTTATTTTTATTTTGAAGGGAATTATCATCAGTCAATTATTTGAGAAAAAAAGAAGAAATTTAATTATTTTGAATTTTCAACCAGTTTCTATTCAACTAAAAACGTCCGTATTCATTCGTAAACGTCATTGTGTATTTTAGCGAAAGTGTACAGAAGATATGAAAATGCCTTATAAACACTTCTTTTCAATTTCAAGGAAGTTAGTAAGCTTTTAGGTTAACGTACGTAGAAAAATGTAAATTTGTCTTTAAAGGGAATTTCGCTTTATTAAATCTGAAACTCGTGAAAAGTTCGCCAGTTAATTTTGGTTGGGACTAGAGCTCAAATATTAAATTTCAAGAAATTCCATTAATTATTTTTTGTAAATATGGTAAAATATGTAAAATTGGCTCAAAGTTCGGTTGATCATTTTCCTTTATATACGCAAAAATTTAAAATTGGCCCGCGAAAAAATCCAGCTCCTGTATCATTTGATGTAGCGCACTCTGTAAATAAAAACAATTTATATTGTTAATTTTTTGAAATTTATTTTTGAAAAATTTTTTGAAAATTTTATTTGATTCGACGAAATTATTTTTATAATATAAATATATATATATATAAAACTTGACTGACATGTACATGATTTCGTTTTTATAAAGGTATCGATATTATTTGATAAAACTTCTAAAGAAAAATGCGTTTGTTCATATGATAAACATTCTGAACTTTTTACTTAATTTCTCAAACACCTCATTTACATACATATGCATGTATGTACTTAAATAATGTAAAATACACAATACATATATACAAATATGGAAAAGTGTCATTGATATAAGATAATTTACACAATACCAATTTAATTAAAAAGGGCACTTTTTCTCATATTAATGAAAGACAATGGTATACGAAAGTATGTAAACTAAATAAAGTCAAATTTTGCCTTGTTTTAAATAAATTTACAATTCAAAAAAATATTCTTTTCAACTGTCAATTAAATATTTTACACAAAAATATCTTCCTTTTGTGTTTATTTATTCAATTAAAAATGGAAATGACAAAATAAAAAAAAATGATCTAATTGTGAAAAACTCAATCAAAAATTTAGCGCACGTTTCAATAACATAGTAATAAAATACCAAAAAAGTGAAAATACAGTGAAACCTATGAAATTTACATTACATGTAGCTGTAGTGCAGTGGAATAAATTCTTAAATAAATTTATCTTAATTGCAACTTGGTAGTGATTAAGTGCTGTTAAAAAAAATATTGCCAATTACTAAACTTTCTACGGTTTCAGTATTTACAAATTCATTTATGTTTGAGCAAATTAATACTTGCATTTTTAATTACTTGCATTTTAACAACTTTTGAACTAAATTTTGGAATGGTGGAGGTTTTATTCCTCAGTACTGAATGCTATCAGTTAATATTAGAAAAACTTTCAATACATTCTAGTCTTCAATATTTGTATATTTTATTCATTTATACCAAGGCTATTTATCCAAAATAGTACTTAATTTGATTCTGAAATTATTATTTTACATAACATGCGTACGATATGGTATCAATTTGTCAAAAAAATGTATAACTGTAATTTATACTGCAACAATTGATATTGAATAGAGTCAAAATTTGAGCACTACTTAAAATTAAAAATGAACTTAGCTGACGACAGCAATATAATGAATTTAGGTAACTGAAATTCGTCAAAGTTATAAATTATAGCAAAATAATTTGAGTTTTTGATTCTACCTCGAATTTCTCATAATAAATGAATTGTTAAATAAACGTTTACATTTTGTATACTGATATAATATTAAACAATAATAGAAAACTTAATATTAATATTTTTGTAGACTGTAATTCATCAAATCGAATAGTATACATATAAAAAATCATATAATTATGTGCAGTGTATACATATGTATATTGTTTTCAAAGAAAATTTGGATAATAATCGATGATAGTAAAAAAATAAAATAGCTAGATTAAATGAATTCATGAAACAATTTAATTTTTAGAATAAAATTAATATTAAAATTTTTTCGTATTATTTCATCAATCTCAAAGTCTTGCAAAATTTGAATACTGGTAATACTAAAATTACTTAAAATATTCAAAAATTCAATAAAAATTTTACATGAAAAACTCATTTACGGTTTTATATATATATACCTATATGTACATAATTAGCTATGTTTTTTTTTTGCAGCAAAATTATTTATGTAAAATTTAATTAGTTTCAGTACACTGTACTGATGGTGTAAATGTGATGATTCTTTTCAATCCGATTTGAATTGGCAGTGTTATTCAAAAACCCTTAATGAATATTGAGATTGATATAATTTCCAATATTAAGATTGATAGCATATAATTACATATAATTTCGTATTCCTGTAAGTGTGTATACTTAAATATTGTACATCATTAACTAATATACAATATATCATTATGTATACTATTATACATAAATAATGTATATCATTAATTAATTTAGAGATAATCGAATCATATCAAAAATCTATTACGCAACATCTATAATAAATAATTTTCATTGTTTTATTGTATCCTGTAACTATGTATATATACATCATTTAATAAGAAAACCATAGGTTTTGTACATAATAATCCTACAATTTTAACAAAACAATAAAAATAAAGTTAAACAAAATTAAAAAAAAATTTTATTTTATCTTTTTACCTTAATTTAATTTTATTTAGTAATTTTGTTTTTAAATATTATATAAAATTTTATTATTTATATATTATATACATGAACATATGAAAATTATAAGAATAATGTCGCATTATAATTATACATAATTATATAAATACAGAGATAAAAAAGAAATTAAAAAAGAAACTCTCCAAAAAAAATTTTCGGCGAAATTTCGTTATTATCCTTTTTTTTTTGTTTTGTGATGTTTCAAAATTATTTAATATGTAAATGTAAATTTGTTAGATTCCTTTCTTTTTTATACAAAAAAAAAAATGTTTAATTTTAATTTTTAATTTTTTCTTCTTTTCGGTTTTCATTGTTATTGTTGATAAAAACCTTTTATTTGTTGTGAAAATTTTGTATGTTATATGTTTATTTTATTATAATTTTACGTATATTAAATGTATGTAACACAAATATGTACGTATGAATGTTATATATGCTTGAATATTTATTATTATTTACTGGTTTTTATGTTATTGTGGTAAATGTATATTAAATCTGTTATAAAATGTTTGTGATTTGTCATTTTTTCTTTTTTGCATTTAATTTTTGGTAAAATATATCATAAGAAAATCTAAATTATGTAAATTATTCTGAAATAGTGACATTTTGTATAAAGTCTTAATTTAAATTATGAAAATTCACTAGTACAAAAATTGTCCAAAAATGTTTTGTTAAAGTTCGAGCAGTGTACTGATCAAGGTACAAGTTAAGTGTACTGATTTGAATAGTAAACATAAAGTATATAAGGTATTATTTCAAAATAGTAGTTATTTCTAATCAGAAACTAAAAACAAGAAAGGAATTATTTCTAATTAGAAATTAATAACAAGATTGAAAAATTATATAAATAGGGGATTCACTTCTAATTTAGATCTTATTATAAAGCAAGTTCGACAAATCAAAACTACAAAATTTCGAAAATCGTAGCAAAAAAAAAAATTTTTCAAGATTTAAGTTAAAACTTTAAATGCATATTTGAACTATCGAAATTCCCCTTAGTTTTATTTTAAATATTATTTTAAGTTTTGCAACATCTCATATTGTACAAAGTAATTTACAATGCATTTATAACAGCAATATTTGATAAATTTACTACCTTTATGTGGTAAAACTAAAACCGTACAAACGTATCCATATTGTAGCAATGCGACATTAGCATAGAATTCAACTTATTAAATGTTAGAATTACTACGATTGTACTAACACAATTTTAATGTGAACTGATTGTATCTGAAAAAAAATTTAAGTAAATGATTAAAAGAATTCTCCTAATATTAAAAAAAATATTCATTTATTTTTTAAAATCCCTTCCTTGACGTAATAGTATGTATTGTAAACAGTTCCTCATCAAATTTATTCTGAAATAATCAAAAAAATCCCTTCCTTGACAAAATAGTATGTATGTAAACAGCTCCTCATCAAATTTATTCTGAAACAAAAAAAAAACAAATATGTTATTCTTTAACAGTACCCTTTTAACATGGCGTAGCTATATATTCTACATGGTACATATAAACATATATAATAAGTTAATAACCATATAAATTTATTTTAATTCTCTTTAGTTTCCTTATTATAATTATGTATCATAAAATTACGCGTGCTTAGATGATATTTTTTTTATATTGCATTAAAATTTTCGCTTTTGTTTATATAATTATAATTTACATACTTTTATAAATTTATTCCTTTGAAAATTTTTGATAATTAATTATTTGTCCCAAGGTAATATTCTTTTGTAATTTAAGTTTGAGCAAGAAAGATATAACAAAAAAAAAATTTTTTTTTCGTTTTGGGTTTTGCTTTTCCGTTTTTCATTTTTTGTTTAACCTTCTGAAAGTAAAATAAATGGAAAAAAATAAGTGCGTAAAAAAAATTCGAGCAATAATTAATAATGCTCCTTTTTCAAATTGTAATTTCTCTTTGAAAATTGCATAATTTTGTAAATTTTTATTTTTTACATCTACAGAAAATTTGAAGCTTTAGGACGTCTATATAGACATTAATGTGTATTCAGTTTGCTCAATTAAAACGAAATTCGTACCAAAGTACAAAATCTCAATTTAAAAACTTATCTTCTGTGAAACAAATGCTAAAGTTTCAGTTCTATAAATAATTTATTTTTTTGATATAATAAATTTTTCTATTTCTGCTGTTCTAATTAGCTAATTCAACTTCCTAGCGTCTTATTACTTTTGTAAACGATAATTCTTAATTCTTTAACTTTTTTGTTCTCATCCTAGTGGTATGCATTAAGCAAATACCTATGTATTTTTTTTTCCTTCTTCACTCCTAGGAGGAGTATAGGGCTTGTGCATGATATCTATTATGCCCTAGTTCCTATAGTCATAGAGAGTTAGCTAGGTAGGTGACTAGCCTACTGTAGTTTTTATTTATATTAAATATTTCAGTTTTATTAATATTTACTGTTTATTTTTCTTGGTCTTTAGTATCGAAAATTATGAATATTTAAAAATTACTTGTATAATATTTATTAGTAATACCTATGTATAATGAATAAAAATTTGATCTAAATTTACAGTACTATTACTACAAAATATTATGGTTTCGGGACATTGCAAATATACATACTTATATATAAATCTGACTTTTTGATTTGAACGGTAGTTTGCGATATTTTGATTTGAAAATGTATGAGTTTTGAGTAATTGCTAAAAATCCAGTATACTCAGTATTTTTCCGCCATCACTTTCATTAGCTAATGACAACCATATGCAGAAACTTTTTTCGGCTGATGTTTTGATATTTTAAAGGTTGTCATATCTTTTTTCTTATTGGTTTTCTTTTTTGACATCAAAATCAGTCATTCTTAACAATTAGTTTTCGTAAATAGAGTAACACATGAATAAATGCTGAAAAAAAAAATTAAAAAAATTAGCAAATATAACTGAAATTCATGAAATATTAGAATTAATGAACTTTGAAAATTGTGTGCAGATGACGCTTTTGGAAAGTTTCCTCTACTTTGAAAATTTCCAAAAACATAATTTTTGGCATTGAATAAATCTGAACACTGTATAAATAATTTTATATTGCGAAAAAATTTTTAGTTAAAAAGAATACGTCAATTTATTCAAGAAAGAAAAACATAAACTACAAAAAAAATTTAAAACTTTTCTTTGTAATCTCAAATTTCACCAAAACTACTTAAAAAAGTTAAAATATTTATTTTTTAAAAACAAATGTATCCACCATTTCAAGCCTGCAAAAAAAATCTTGTATATGTACCTAATATTCCTACCTATAAACAAATATTTTTGTTTGATCCTTAAAGTATAACTCCATTTATATATTGCCTAATGTGTGTTATTGTATGTTGTACAACCAGATGTACATGTTACATTTAAGTGAAAATATTATGACAATATTTATTTTATTCCATTTATCCTTCTTTAAAGAACTTTTTAAAGACTAATATTACACATGAATGTATAGTAAAAGTAAACCATCAGACGACACCTTAAATTTGAAATTGTTTTTTTTTTTGGTTTTATAAATTCAAGGACAAAAAATTACACTTGTTCACATATAACGTAGTATACGTTACATATATGAAAATGGTGTTGCTCCTGGTTTTTCATAAAATTTAAAAGGGAAAAGAAACAAAAAACTCTTTTGAACTTATGTAAACTTTTAAAATATGAATCGTAAAATTTAAGTCATATTCAAGATAATAAACTTTACCTTTATAAAACCAAAAAATATTTAATATATTAAAGGAGAAATATCGTTGTGTACATACTTATATACTCATCTAATTTATTACATAACTTTGTAAATTCATTATTATATATGAAAGAGAATAAGAAGAGCAGTTTTTGGGAGGAAAATAATTTATATAATTTACATTTTTGTTTGTAAAATATAAAAGTGAGAAAATGGTTTAAAAAAGTTACTACCCATATTCTTGTACAAATGTACATAACACAAATGTATAAACATATATATATATATATATAAATAAGTATATTATATAAGTATGTATGTAATTTGTGGTTTCGTCAACTTATCAAAAAATAAGATTAAAATATTTTTGTAAATACTAAATATGTAGATACTTCATAAAATTTTAGTAGTAAAAAATTATTGTATGTTTTTGATACCCCAGAAAATAATTGAGTTTTAAGAATATTATGTTTTAATTTAAAGAATAAAGCAGATTAAACTGAATAAAGCAGATGAGTGCAATGGCATTATACAAAGCATTTTATTATGTATAAGTTTTAAGTCAATATAAATTTTAAAAGTATTTGTATAAAATTTTAAAACCGAAATAAATTTTTCATTTGGAAATTGCACTCACTCACTTTCTTTCTACCACTTGGTGGGTCTCAAAGCTTATTCAGTTAAGCTACTCAATAATTAAAAATCAATAATTTAATGTTAAACAATATAACGGTAAACTATGATTAATGCTATTATATGTATTTTTTGAACCTTCTTATTTGTAAATGAAATAATTTACAAATTATGTACACTGATTAATAGTCGTCTCTTATGTGACGTGTTTTGGCTTTAATTTTCTCTTTGTAGTATTTTATCTGTAAAAAGTTAAAATTGAGATTGATTGATATATTCTTCCACAAATTAATTACATTTTTTTTTTGTAAATAGTTTTCAAATGATTTTAATTTTAATCAACTATTACAAATATTAATGTACAAACGTTATTGCAAATTATTTTATTTAATTATTTTGTATTTTGTTAAATTATAAGAAAAAACAAATATTATGTAAAAATATCATTTTTCTTACAATAAGAAAAAACAAAAATTTAAAAGTAATTTTAAATAATAATATAAAATAAGACAACATTTTATTTCTATTTTCTATACAAAAAAAAAATATTAAAAATTAATACAGGAGCAAATTGCTAGAGAAAAATTAGTTACCGGACGTGTTCAGTTACAAGTTTGGTACCACGGTGAACGTAATGAATTAGTTGTTTCATTAATGGCTGCTGATGATTTAGCATTACGTGATGAATCATATGGACATGGTTGTTTACCTGAAGCATATGCAAAAGTTCGAATATTACCAAGAACGTAAGAATGACATTTTAAAACCAAAAATTAAAATTAAAAAAGAATTTATTAATTTAATTTTCTATAAATAAAATTATAAATTGATTTATATAGAGGTGATGGTTCTGTTGCACAAACTGAAGTAAGCCGACCAACACAAAATCCAATATGGAATGCAACATTAACATTTGGTCATATATCAGCTGAAAATTTAATGGATCGTTATATTGAAATACAATTATGGGATTTAGTACCGCATACTGAATCAATATTTTTAGGTGAATGTAATGTTGAATTACAAAAAGCATTTTTAGAAGATCGTGCACTATGGTGCCGTTTAGAAGATCCAAAAGGTTTACGTGCATGTAGTATATCAAAATCAACAAATGTATCACCACGTGGTTCATTAGTTAGTGCAGATATATCACGTTTAATAAGACGTTGTGATTATACACAACAACGTTCAATATCAGATGATGTTGATTCAATTGGTGATGGTACAAGTTTATTACATCCAGATCATGCATATATTGCTGGTTCAAGACGTGGTTCATCACAATCTGAACAACTTGAAGTTGAAGTTTATCAATTGGGTAGAGATTTTTCAAGATCATTACCTGGTTCTAGGCGTTCATCATTTCAAGATCGTGATGAAAATAAAGATGATGATATGATGCCACCAGCATCATATATGTGTGGTCGTCGACGTTCATCAATAGCTAGAAGAGATCCAGATGAAATATTAAGATCATTAAAACAAGTTCGTGGTGAATTAGGTAGAGCAATGAGTTTAGCTGGTGCAGAACCAAAAAGATCACCATCAAGACGTAAGTATTTTAATATAAATGAATTTTTAATTATAATATTTGTAAAAAACAATATTTGTTTTTAATTTTTTGGTAAAAAAAAAGAAAAACACAATATATTATTTATTAAAAATATGCTAAAATATAATTTATATTTTTTTCTTTTTTTTTCATTTTATTTTATCTTTAAAATATTTGCATATATTATAAATATTTTTTTTTGTAAAATATAATTTGTTTTTCAACCGCAATATATATAAATATTAAAAATAAATGAAAAAAAAAAATTATTTATAATTATAATTATGAAGCACTTATATGCATATCGCAAATACAAAGTTTAGATATACCATCATCCTACACTTGGAACTATAAATAATATTAGAATAGAATTTCAAAATATACATTTAAAAATTCTAAAAATATAATTGTTTATAAAAGCAAACATTTTTTTAATATTTTGCACTTAATATAAAATATATTTATATTTATATTATTTATTTTGTATAATAAACTTTTAAAAACAATCAATCTATATATATATAAAAAAAATAAAATAAAATGCAATATTATATAAAAAAAAAAAGAACAAAGAAAAAATTATTATATATTTCCTTCGACACTTTTTTTGTAAATATCAGTAAATCACCTTTAAAGCAAAAATATTAAAATAATTTTAGAAAAATAATGAATATTTCACACACACAAAATAAATGAATAAAATTATCACCTATGGTAAGAAAATTCACAATTTTTTTCTCACTACTTTGATTTCATTGAGTTCGTTTTTATTAATAATTAATATTTTGGAGCATTAATGAGTTCACTATATAATTGAGTTATATACAAATAAGAGTTTAATTCAAAAGTTGGTTTGTTTGTTACTTGATTTAATTATAGTTAATTATATTTATATACAAGAATAAATTTGAGAGAATTTCAAAAAAAAATTTTAAAAAAATTATTATTAATGCATTGTTCATTTGCTAGTTTTGAGTTAAAATATATTATATATATTAAAATTATTACACACTAACATTATATATCACACGCTAATATTTTATTGAAATTAAATTATAATATTTATTTTTATTAATATTTTTTTAAGTTCTTAATTCAAAATTATTAAATACTTTCATATTCTACTAGACTCATCACTTGAAATTATGGCCATATTATTCAAAAATTTTATAATTTTTAGAATAAAATTAATTTCAAATTTTATAATAATTAAAACTTCAATACTTTTAAGTAATATTCTATTAATTCAAGTGATGTCCATCTACTATAATATGAGTTATAAGCGAAAATTAAATATTATTATTATTTGCATGAAATTATTAAATCAGTTCACGTTTAAATAAAAAGGTTTAAATATAAATTTAAAATTAAATTGAGTGATATTTAATTCAAATTATATTGATTTTTTAAAAAAGAAAATTTTTTGATTTTAAAACGAAAATATTTAAAAAAAAAAAAAAGCACTTCAAAATTCAATTTTTTCAATAGAGCACACAAGCATTTCTTTTTCATCACCAATGAATTTTGAAATTTATTGAAAATTTTTGAGAGCACGTACATAAATGTTTTTAAGATTTGTAATATTTACAAATATTTTTTATTAATAAGTGCATAAAATTTTTATGAGAAATTTATTTTGAAAGTGGTTATAATATTATAAATATTAAATTAATATATAGGCTTATACGCATATAAAGTCAATAAAATGTTTTTCAAAATAAAATGACAAATTTATTTTTTATATAATAAAAATCAAGAGAAAGATGTTAAAAAATTATTATTAGAATAAAACTTTTATAAAGTCAATTAAAAGTTTGTTTCTTGTATAATTATGGTAAAATTATAATTTTGGTATTTTACCAGAACTTTCAAAATCAATTACTCATAAATAAATATGGTTTTTGTTAAGAAAATAATAATATTTACATGCAATTAATATTATTCTTAATTATAAAAAATTTAAATTTTGTGGAAATGAAATAAAATTCATTGAATGAATATGAGTTATGAAATATGTGAAATGAATGTATATGTATATTATATATGTATATGTATACAATTAATAAATAAATATATTATCAACTACCTACAGTATACTTATAAACGGAAAATTTTTCACAAAGCTTTTATAAAAAAAATTCTGTACTTTAAAAAAATGTTATTTTAAGATCATATCATGTTGAAACCTTTACGCCTGTATAGGTAGGTGAAAATAGGTTCGTATTGTTGTGTAATAGGAATGGTTTGGAACTCAAAACAGGCAAGTGTCAGGTACTGAGTTTATCTAAAAAGAGTTTCTCTGTCGAAGTTAGTATGGATGCCAGATATGCTCTCCTCTTCATAATGTTGATATAAATCGTATTGAGGCTGTGCAGAGGCGTTTCAGTCGTTTTGCTTTTTGTTGTATGGATTGGTCAGATTCGTGTAGGCCTCTTATGATGGTACGGTTCAACTTTTTAAAGACTTAAGGTCGTATTGTTGTCGTTGGTTTCCGATATAGTTTCCTATCATCAACTTCTGGTTGGTAATGTTGTTGTCTCGGTTTTATTGGGTCAATTTTCTCACAGGGAGAATCCTAATAGTTTAAGGTCGGTCAAGGTTTTCAATGATACGCGTCATAGTACGGCATATGGGATGCATGACCCGGTAACGCATATGTTGTGCGAAACTAACTAGTATTCATCTGTTTTTGCAGGAAAATAAGTAAGAGGGCGTTGCAGGCCAGACTATACGGTAGCATTAATTTTGTTTGTTCTAAGTGTTGTTTATTTTGCTACACTAAATGCTTGTACTAACAATCGTCTGATTTTTCAAGGAATTTTCATTCTTAAGTAAAGTTACTGCTGACTCAGTTATTAATGACTGACTTTGTTTAAATTTAGATTTAAAATTCTAATTTTTACATTTCAATAGATGAGTAAAGTTTTAAATTCCCACTTGTTAATTTTTGAAAAAAAACGTAATTCTTTTTTTTTTAGTCGATAGTTTTAGAAATAATATATTACATTATGTAGCTACACAGTAACCAAATTTCGATATCTTTAATTAATTTTAATTACTTGTTTTTAATAATTTGACATTATTAATGGAGATAATATTAATTGATAATTATTAATGGAGATAATATTAATTGATAATTCATATAAAACTGCAAAGTCCTTTTACTGGAACAGATCGACGTAAGTCGTAACTATGGTTCATATTATATATTGGGTTCTTATGGCGAAAACTCTCTATCCCGCCTTTTGATAATTTTGAAATAACTTCACGTCGAAAATACTATTCCACTAGGCTATTTATTATAAATATGAAATACGCAAATTAAAAGAAAAATATTTTTTTTTCTGAAATATTGTAAAACAATTACTATAGTTGTATATGAATTAATAGGCTTTTTCTCTCAATTGCAAAATATTTTAAAATTTTATCGAATGTTGGATAGAGTGTTTTTCTCATAAACCCCACGGTATATTAGTACTAGCAATATACTCCTTTATTAATAAATTGGTATATTTAGATATTTTGTAAACCCCTAAAACGAACACATTCAATATAGATTATGCCATAAGGAGTTCGAATTTAATGCTTTCAAACTCGATGTAGGCAGTTTGCGCGTACAATATAGTGTAAAAATAGATAACATAAAAAATTAGCATTCATAAGAATTCATATCTTATACCCTATTGAGTAAATAATATCCAAGTAGCAACACAAGTCGAATTGGTTTGGTTTCTGTAAAATAAAAACCATTCACGTCTTCAACATGAAATATTACAGCTTTCATACAACTGAATTCAGTTTTAATCTATAACTGAACATTATAAATGGTCTTTTCATAGGGCTTGTTCTGTGAACTAATAAACCGTATATACCTATTATGAAATAACTTAGTATAACCACCAAATGAATTGTCACATGATTGCGCACATGTATAAGTAAACTTTGAGTGTTCCTTGCACACGCAGCAATCATGATTTTTAATAATTCCCAATTTTCTTTTACCATGGAGCTTTTTTCCTTTCTTCTTCTTTGTTTCATATCATTACCCTACGTTTCTATACATACCAATACTGTGGTTGAATATATGCATATAAAAATAAGATATTCTATACTTAATTTTTATTGTCACACTATGAAAATTTCATTATTATTTACTAATATTTATCAAATTACATTTTAATGAGTGCTGCTTCATATTTTCGAGTATAAAGATATAAGTTTTTTCATTAACATCTTTGAAAAATTAAAATATGCGAATATAATTATAAAAGTACAATTAGCATAAAAAATAATAACTATTATTACTATAATTTAGGAAAAAAGTAAAAAATCCTTTTGAAATCATATGTAAAATATTCAGATGAATCGTTACTTTTCATTTTAATTATTTGAAAAATATAATTTTCTTGCATATTGCGATATCTAGTTTTAAAATATAAGCTATAAGTTTTAAAAACTTTAAAAATAAAGTAATTTTTACAATTCCATAGAAATACCTAGAAAAAAATTATGAATTCCTTTTTCAAAAATTTAAGAGAATTTCACATTTAATCATTTATAATATGTGAATACACGTATGTTAAAGCTTTATCTTAAATAATTAAAACCTAATTTATTTTCAATAAACAGGAATTTTAACTTATACTTTAATATACAAAGGACCTTGACCTTTTAAATCATTTAAAAATTTTAACAAAATTCATATACCATATAAAATTCAGTTATAAAAGCTAAATTGTAAAAAATTGTAAATGGTTATACATGTACATGTAGGTACATGTTATATATTATTATAAATTTTACCTTGACCTATAAAAGCTCAAGTTTACTTAAAACCAAGTGTTATATTTTTATTAGCACAAAAATTTTTTTTTATTATTCTTAATAAAATATTCATAATTTTTTACTATAAAAGCAACGTCATATTTATATAAAAGTGCTCTTTAATTTCAAGAGCACTTTTACCGTAACTCCTCCATTTCACTATGTAAATCATTACA